TTCCAAATTGAAGACTTCGCTCTAAAGTTTTGAACTCGAGAAAAAGCGTCTGCAGCAGCGTCCGCTATTTTGGGTTGTTTATCAATACAACAAGTGCCTGTACCAATCTATTTTTTTTATTCATATGGTTTAAAAGTCATACAAATGCAATTACATGACCAATAAACATTCTCCAAATATTAATGTATAATAATATAAAGGAAATACAAATGTTATTAGTGATATTGCTGGAATATTGCTAAGAGCGGAGTAAAACCATATATTCACTCACTCACTCCAAGGTATGAAGCATAAGGTCAAACCCAAGCATCGTCTCTTCATGTAGAATATAAACACTTGCAGTTGGTAAAAGGCGTATTCATAGTTGACCAAGGCCCTGTTGACAGAGCCAGACTTTAGCGTTGCGTTACCATCCATTTGAGAAGGGCTTTTCTTATAACACTACTATGTTAATGTGTGTTCACTCTCCGCCACCACAGACACCATCCCGTTGAATGACATCTGTTATGGAAAAGGTGATTACCTATTGCCAAATTAACATATTTCGTTAACTGTCTAGAAAGTGACAATCGTTTCATCTCACATCAGCCGCATTCTGTACTCAACACACTTCTCCACTCGACTGTAACAACATTCCACTCCGCCCAAATGTTGAACACTCCCTCATACTTGCATAATTTTATATACTTCTTCACCTTGCACTGTACATAACCTGGCAACGTTCATGATGGTGTTAGAATCTACATAGATGCTAGTAATTGCAATGAAAACGTTGTTCATTACTATATCTTACCGTTACGTATTTTGATAATATACTATCCCAAAAAGAAACGAATAGGCGTTTTATAGTTTTTTAAATCTATTAAATACCAATTGTGTTGAAACAATCGTCAAAATATGTAACAAAAGTGTCGATAACATGAGTTTACACTATTGCACAAGTGAAAAATCGACTTTACCTGAAAATGTTGATTTTGATGAGATTTTCTACAAGAACTAAAAGGCATCGCCACAACGCAACAGAAACCACCTTCCAGTTGAATTGTGCAGGCACTACCTTTTCTAAACTGATGTAAAAGTTCATGTACTAAAGTCTATTTGTGGACGAGTTATACATGTTTGAAAATACAACATTTTCCCAACAGATTTCTGGGTTATGCGTTTCTTTTTTGAATAGTATATCTGTTGATAAGGTGATCAAGGGTAAGAGTAACAGACGTAGTCAGACGGGACATAAGCAATACACTATTACATCACTACTACACACCAGCAACATATTCAAAAGTTATAGTATTGATCAAATAGCGATTCATGTTCTCATGTCATGGCTATTTCCTCTGCAAGGACGTTGAGTGGATTTGTGCTGGGGAACATCCAAAACCTACAGATTGTGCCCGAGAACAATTACAAGTTGCTAAGTTTGCTTTTCGCTTTTGCCTAACGCCGCACAGCAATGGTCCAGCTAGATGACGGCGGTCTCTAAATAATCGAGTCTGGACCAGATAATCCAGTGACTGACATCACCAGCATCGATCTACATAATCGCGTTAAGATGACATGAATCAACCCAGTTAGCTGGCCCCTTACGGCAAGCTTGGAATGCTGAAGGCTAATTCTAACCCAGATTTCCACGGCTGTAAGTCGCTAAGAAAACATGCGATGCATGACGAGGACAGTGAAAAAATAATATAGCCGAAGTTGAAGATACGTTTCGGTCAGCAATGTGATCCTCTGCTATGTGAATACATCGGGCACACCTGATGAGCTGACATCTACATACATGCAATAATAAACTGCAAACATATAACTTATAACTCTGTTTATCTCATTAAAATCGTATACAAACCATGCATGCTTATAAATATATCTATTTTATGCTTATGTTGGTTATGAGTTAAGTCTGAAATTACACGATGTTTTAGTTTTGTCTGTGTTTGGATGTGACACAGAACCTTGAAAATCAAAATATCCTTCCTTGTTTGGTACTTTCATATCGGATTACGAAGGAAAGGATCTCTGAGTAATGGATTATCCATTATACATCTGTCACATAGACCACAGTTGGTCTTCTTGATGATAGTTTCAATACCGACAACGTTTATGTCTTGAGAAGAGGGTGACCGAGTATTATCCACTCCTTCATTTGAAGCTACATATTGAATTACAGAACTGACCCGACTGTTCTGGGAGTCACTGTATAATGCGATCTTAGCCCTGGGGCAATCGTAGCCATACCTTAATAGACTAACGACAATCCTATTACGCTAAGGTTGATTTGTACAACGACACCCTGATAGATCAATCCTGCGCCAGCAATGTCTTTAGCATCTATATACTACTCACACTTTGCTAAGGATCACAAAAATTCACAAGTTTACTTAAACGTAGATTCATAATTTGAAATTGTAACCATTTAAAACTGGATAAATAATAATATGGTAACCCCCCTTTAGGCAAACAGTCACTTTAATCTAACCTTATGCACTTGATACATGAGTAACCATAAAAAATGGTTTTCATGGCACCAATCAACCATTTTGCAAATAATGGAACGAGTCATTGACAAGTACACAACACCTGTCAGTAGAAGGTATGGGATCCACAAGATGAAATGACACACTGAAACCTAGGATCCATGCTTACAATAAGCTTAGATATTTAAATCCAATTTGACCCGTCATCATAGTTTTCTGTTGAATCCATGATTTGATCCATAGCAAATTGTGAATAGTATATTTCATTGGCCAAGAAGGTAAACTAGATAGACAGTATTCAAATTTACCTCAGTAATTTCAGTCTGGGTTTGATTTGAAACATCCTGTGCAAAGATCTACCATCATGCTTCATAATTAAGTTAAACCTAAAACTGTCAAGAAATATACTCAAAACGAGAGACAGTGACTCTTGCTTCTGCTTCAACCTTAGAACAACGTGTAATTGACTGTAAGTTCGACTATAACGTAATTTTCTTTGAGTGGTATATTTAGAATTTGGTGAATGAGATAAGGAAACACTTTATGGATGAACAACTTCTTTATTCAGGTGATGCAACGTTTCGATACAGATTCTTGTATCGTTGTGAAGCAAGTATAGCCATCCAGAAAGTTTCTTCTTATCTGACTGTAACGTTATTTACTTCAAAATCAGACGACAAAACCACATCTTGTTAATGTTCCCTCTCTCCTACCAGACAATGTCTCTGTGTCATGTCTCCAGATCGTGTTTCCGTGTCCTTTCTTCCGCTGCATTCCGTATACTTCTTGTGTTTCTTGTTACACGTTGTCTCTTTGTCATTTCAACTCATTGGCGGATGCAGAGGGGGTGGGGGGTTCAGGGTTAGACCCCCCCTTTTTTGAAAAATGACCTAACACCGCATTGAAGTTATGCATTGGCGGAGCCGAGGAGGGGTTCAGTGGGTTTGACACACACACACACACACACACACACACACACACACACACACACACACACACACACACACACACACACACACACACACACACACACACACACACACACACACACACACACACACACACACACACACACACACACACACACACACTTTGGAAATTCCTGGATCCGCCTCTGCAACTGCAAAACTCTTTATCGTTTCTCCTATTACATATTATGTTTCTTTGTTCTAAAGCCAGCCTACACCGGGTTAGAATATTGAACTTCAGTGAGTGAGTGAGTTAAGATTTAAGGTCACATCGGCAATATTTCAGCCATATCGTGACTAAAACTAGTTCCACATTCATAATACATACATATAATATATAAAACCCTGTCAACGAAGGACAGTAAAACCACTAGATTATCACAAAATGAGGTAAAACTAGCTAGCATATATCTTTAAAAGTAGAAACTATTTTTGGGCAATACAGTGTAAAAATGGGCTATAGATCACCAGCAACTGAAGGTAGATCACCATACTAGGGACCACTTACAGTGCCTTTGCTACCTACATGGACCCTAGATGGATTTACACCATCCCTTCAGCCACTGGCGATTGTAGTCAAATCTAGCCATAATTTAAAATTACAAACATACTACGTTTAAATAATCTGGTAAGTAGAAATTTACCTTGAATGTTTTGGGACTTGCGTACCCCTACAGGAGGACTGATCTTCAGTAACTCATGCTTGTCGTAAGAGGCGACTAACGGGATCGGGTGGTCAGGCTCGCTGACTTGATTGACAAATGTCATCGGTTCCCAACTGCGTAGATCGATGCTCATGCTGTTGATCACTTGATTGTCTGGTCCAGACTCGATTATTTACAGACCGCCGCCATATAGCTGGAATATTGCTGAGTGCGGCATAGAACTAAACTCACTCACTAAAGCGACCCTTCTTATCGTTTTTCCTGTTTTTCCTGTTTGTTTACCTGCCAAATTGGTTGTTTTACCTGCCAAATTATGCTTGATTTTCCATTTCCTTTCTCCTGCCAAATTATGCTTTCTCCTACAGAATTATCCTTTCTCCTCTAATATTAAAGCGTTTCTTTTCACGCCGAACTTTCGAATCCTAAAAATTATGTTTCTACATTCTGGTTTCTCCCGCCAAAATTGAATATTGCTAAAAGCGGCTTTGAAACCTTATTCCTCTAATATTATGCTTCTTTGTACTTTCTCCCTGTAAAATTGTTTCTCTTGTCAAATGATAATGCTTGTTCTTTCTCTTCCCAAACTATGGCTATGTTACAGGTTATGTTTCTTTTATATTTTCTATTGAAAACCTATGTTCTCCTTTCCCGTCCTCCTGCCAAGTTATGTTTCTTTGGGGTTTTTTCTCCTGCCAGGTATATCTCTATTTTATTTCTCCTGTCAATGAATATTCTTAAGTCCCTTCTCCTATTAATTTGCTTTGTACTCTGTCCCGCAAAATTGTGTTTCTCCTGCGCCTTTCACCTGGCATTATCTTTCTTCGTCTTTTCCCCGCAGAAGAATGTTTCTTTGTTCTCCCCTGTTTTGGCATCGTGATGTTTCTGTCCAACAGAAAAAATGTGGAAAGTGGAAAGGAGCGGGGTGCGGCGTTCGCTGTGTATCACCGTGGGGAGGTTGTGGTCGACATGTGGGCAGGATATGCTGACGATGAGGCTGAGAGACCCTGGGCCAGTGACTCAATGTGCATTGTCTTCTCAACTACGAAGGGCATGGCCGCTCTCGCCGTAGCGAGGATGGTAGACAAGTGAGTGGAATAACAGGAGATTAAAGGGATAAAATAATAATGAGTGAGTGAGTGAGTTAATATTTAACGTCACATCGGCAATAGCAGCCATATTGTGACGAAAACAATTTATACAGTAAAAAGTGAAGACATTTTAAAGATTAAAACCTGTCGACGATGGACAGTAAACATACTAGAGAATCATAAATATGAATATAAAATTAGCGAGCAAAGCTAAAACATTGCAATTAAAGAAGACAATTCAGTATAAAACACGGGCTATAGATCGCCAACAACTGAAGGTAGATCACCATACTAGGGACCATGGGGACTTACATTACTGTGGCTACCTGCATGGACCTATAATAAGAATGAACATGCTGTGCATCTCAAGGAGTAACTCTCAAGTTATATTCAAAGCCAAGTCTAAAATATATATCCTGTATGTTTTCACGGAAGCCATTTACCTCTATGTGTAGTCCATGGAATCTTATGTACTTTGCCGTCATATTGATGGAATGTTGCTGATTGTGGAGCAACAAATAAGCCAACCTCATTTACTCAAGAAGCCTTTAAACACACATTAGAAATTCCAAATTATGTTCTTGTACTTGTACAGTCCGTTATCACACCCCATGGAAACCATTTACAAAGTCCTTGTCCAAACTTTAAAAGGACTGCATGTGATCGATTTCTTTTTTTTAATTCATTTCAAATTAAGTGCAGCCAGTCTTGAATCCGGCAGTGACGTGTTCGCTTTGTACAAATAGCCTTAATTTGTTTGAGTGGCATTCTAGAAGTTGGTGGTATAGAGATGACAAGACTTTATCAACTTCTTCAAATAAAGATGATGATCATCCATAAAGTCTTTTCATCACAAATAGCCACAGATATCAAACATCTGACCCTTTTCTTGTTTCCTGTTTCTTGTTTCAAAATTTTGGCAGTTGACTGGCATCATATCTTAAACATGAATATTAAACATTTCTATGGTTACATCCAGGGGATGGCTGGACTACAAGAAGCCGGTGGCCCATTATTGGCCGGGGTTCGCGCAGAACGGAAAAGGGGAGATAACTGTTGAGCAGTTACTGGGACATCAGGTAGGCTGATCCAGTTTCTTATAAGGCAACAAAACATGAAGTTATCTTTGAAAATGATATATAAAATGATATATGTGGATAACTTGCATTGGGTGTTTTACGGGCCTAATGTTGGATGGGACAGGAAGTCTACCCTGTATGAACAAGGTGACATGTACTGAAAGTAGTTAGACCAGACGGCCAGAATATCAAGACAAGTGTTTCATTTGGAATAGTAAGGCACTTGTATTTATCTATAGGGCGGGCTGGTGTCCCTTGGTGGCAACAAGACGACTCTACGTGAATACCGTGACAACCAGGAAGCCTTCACCCGACGACTGGAGGAGGTAACGCCTCTATGGGAACCAGGTTGGTCTCTGCGTGATCCACTGTCATTAAGGTGATATACAAGACAGTAGGGTAGCTTATCCACCCTTATAATTTCTGTTTATACTACATGAATGGAATAAGCATCGTAACCCGCATTTGCTCCTTTCGCGTCGTTAGAATCCCAAACTCACTTGGAGTTTGCGCAAATTACAGAAGTGTACAGATGTAAGAGACGTAACGCCTCCCATATATATGTTGGGATATTTTCCTTCATGGATTCGTGACTTTGGAGGTCATTATCACTCGTTCTTAAGTGCAAATGTAGCTGTTCTGCTCAAGAACGTGAGATGCGAATTTGTCAAAACTGAGCATACATGATTTCCTGGGCAAGATCTCAGTCATCTTCTGAATGATCTATATTTAATGTGAAGGTCACAAGAGGTCACGATTACAAGAAATGTCGCTTAATTTATGTAGAAACAAGTATTTTTTTACCTGTTAATAACTCAGCGACTACTATATGTCATGGGTAGATCAGTCGCCAAGATCACTATAAGTATTAATAACGTGTTATGCATTTTATATTCAAACAAAATGAAATATTGGCCAAATTTCAGGAAACAATATCAATGCAGTTACATTTTCTATGGAAAACTGTGACAGTTTGGATTTACAGCACATGCACCTTATGAACCAGTGTGTATTACTAGATATATATTTTATGACATACATTACGTGTAGGTACTGCCCACGGTTACCATGCCTTTACGTTTGGCTTCTACGTGGATACTCTTGTCAGGATGGCAGACCCCAAACACAGGAACATGACTCAGATATTCCGGGAGGAGATTGCCGAGCCTTTTGGTGAGCAAACAAAGACGGATATACCATACGGTTAAAACCAGCTATTTTAAATGTCACAAAAGATAAAGCAGCAACGGGCGTTATTATCAAATCACAGGACACAGGGGTGCGATTACGCTAAAATAATCTATCCGATCCTGTCCACTGTATTCTTCTCAAGTGAGACTCCTGAACTCCATCCAGGAATCCTTGTTTTCATCAAAATGAATTAACATCTATAGGACACCGAATTTTATTTGCTAAACTGTCTTAAAAATCAGTCTAAAAAGAAATTGGAGTCGTTGTAAATTAAAGCCGTATCGGGGAATTACTGGCGATAAAAATCTTAGCACCTCACTTAAAATTCTCCTTTCCACCGATTCGATGCGTCCAATGAAAGGTATGTATGTTTCTATTGCAGGCATTGACTTCCACATCGGTCTCCCAAAATCTTTGTCACATCGGGTAGCCCGAGGACATTACCTGTCTCCCCTGGAGTCGATTATCTCTTCCATGAAATCTTGGCATTTGTTTCACCTCTTTGCCAGTAGCACATTCTTCCCGGACACCATCACTGGCAAGTCACTAAATGTTATAGGTTTAGAGGTAAGTGGCTCTTCGGATAGTGTGTGAGGTAGGTAGGTAGGAGACTTCTAAAATATTTGATCTGTCAATGGGATTGTTTTAGGCATGACGTTGCCATTGTATCTGAAACTAACTTATGCCCAAACCTCGTTTAGAAGTGAGTGAATAAAGCTTTACGCCAGCAATATCACGGCAGGGGACATCAGAAATGGGCATCACACATTGTACCCTTTTGGAGAATCGAACCAGCGTCTTCGGCGTGATGAGCGAACGCTTCAATCACAAATCTACCCCACCGTACCTAGTTCGCAAGAGATGTATGTGTCTACGGTATGTGTGCCACCATTGCTAAGTTTTGCCAAGGTGTTTGTTGTTTTTGGGTTCAGATTTGCCATATACATGTAGTTATAAATTGTGGGTCAATGTATCCAGATAGTAAAGTTAAATTGGGGTTTGGATAAGTTCCTTTTCTATGGGTAATGGTAACATATTGATGTTATGAAACATATTTGGTGTTGCGATACTTTCTTCCATGTTTATATTTTTTACATGATGTGGTATTGGTAGTCATCAAATCCAGCTGACACAAAAGATTACTAACAATGTAGAAATACTTAATCCCAGAAACGTATCCACTCGTGCTACATACAATGTATGTCGTCATTTAAGCAATGTTCGCGATATATTCATGGCACTATTGCGAACGTATCGCGATACAGAGAAAAAAACTTTTGAAATGTAGCATGCATGATATAGTTAGAACTACCTGGCAATCTTCAAAATGACCATTCTTAACTATAATTGAACTCGTCGTTCCATCTGCAAATCTATCATGCGAGATTTAAAACAATGTCTTGAGAAGTGTAAATATGTCTTGAGAAGTTATAATATGTCTTGCAAAATGTCAGCACTCCTTGCGACATACCTTGCTCACTTCAAACAAGATTTTGATCATCTGTCTAGCGTGCCATACACCTGCTTCGAAACCTGCAATGAAAGAATATGGACGATGCTTCTCCATGTTAATCATCTCTCCATCAATACTGGCAAAGATGAAGCAATACTGGTTTTCAAGACAATATTACCTTTGTTATTGGACATGCTCGTTTTGAAAATTGTTCGCTAATCCTTTCATGAAGATAAATCGGCTTGAAGCACAGGCATTAATCACAGCCCCTTAAATCATTGCATGGTCGCTGCTGAAGCACATGCATTAACCACAGCCCCTTAAATCATTGCATGGTCGCTGCTGAAGCACAGGCATTAACCACAGCCCCTTAAATCATTGCATGGTCGCTGCTGAAGCGCAGGCATTACCCACAGCCCCTTAAATCATTGCATGGTCGCTGCTGAAGCACAGGCATTAATCACAGCCCCTTAAATCATTGCATGGTCGCTGCTGAAGCACAGGCATTAATCACAGCCCCTTAAGTCATTGCACGGTCGCTGCTGAAGCGCAGGTGTTCTCTTGCTCATGAGATCAAGTTAGATTCTTCCAATGGATGTAATGTTTAATGTCTATCTATCAGGTAACTCACTGTAAAAAGTCCATCTGTAAGGCAATCCATTCTCACTGCATTTCATTTCATCACAGTATATTTGTTTGACAGTTCAATACGTTTAATGACCCTGAAGAGATGAGTATTGGACAGTCAGCGGTACTTGGTATCGGGACAGCTCGCAGTTTGGCCAAACTCTACAGTTACATGGCAATGGGCGGAAGTATCAAAGGGAAACAACTCCTCAAACCGGAAACTTGGAAGTTGGTGACAACCAGTTTGAGAAAAGGCCAGGATCTCGTATTTCCTTCGCTCACATCAGAGTGGGGCAGAGGTGTAGGATTTCGTGATCTCCCTCACCCAAAATATAAGGTAGGTGCAGAATACATTATCAAAAAAAGGAAAACCATAACATCCTTCACCTGTTTGCATGCATTACATTAAGTTACATTAAGGGCAGGCGCCAAAATAAATATACAAAATTATGATATCGTGTAAACGTTCAGAAAACACTCCTCGCATATAATTACATAAAGACATGTAGATATGTATCCTCTTCCATATGGACGCGCCAAGTTGATAGTTTTTCTCTGCTCCCAAAGCAGTAGTCAGACAAAGCATGTAGCGAGGCTCTAGAAGGCTAACAGTCACATTACCATGTCAAACCTAATATTTCGCTTTAATGGAGTAAGCTATAGTTTTACGCCGAATTTAGCAATATTCCAGCAATATTACGACGGGGGACATAAGTAATGGGCATCACACACTGTATTCATGTGGGGAGTTGAACGCAGGTATTCGGCGGGACGAGCGAACGCTTTAACCACTGTACTACCCCACCACCCCGAGTTTTAATGGAGGGAAATCATATAAGACAGTTCTCACAAATATATCCACAATAATCATTTTTTAACTGCACGACGGATTCTAAAATAAGACAAATTACACTCATCAAAAAAGAAACGCATAAGTCATTTTTAGAAGAATTTATTGCATTAGTTTAAGAGCAATTATTTCACGCAATTTCAATGGTAAACATGTGGCAATTCACACGTCTATAGACAAAGAGTTCGCCAACACAACAGCAGCCTTTATTGTTGTGTTTCTGTGTACTGGAGTCTACAAGTTGGCACACTCGGCACCGTCTCGGCATAGACTTGATAAGGCGACGAAGTCGCTCTTGCGGTATTCTTTCCCATTCCTTCTGCAATGCGATGGTCAGTTGTGGAACTGTCTGAGGCGTGTTTTTTGTTGATGTACACATCGATCGAGTTTATCCCATAGGTGTTCTAGCGGGTTTAGAACTGATGATCGGGAAGGCCGTGGCAAGACATTGACGTTAGAACTAGCAAGGTTGCGGACCGTGACACGAGCTCTATGTGAAGTAGCTTTGTCATGCTGGAACATCTCCCTCTGTCCGTCCATAATCGGAAGCATGTGACGTGCAAGGACTTCGTTGATGTACCGATTTGCTGAACCACCACTAAATCAGATTTTATACTACACTATGAGACTGCCTCCACCGAATCTGTCGACCTGTCGAATGCAATTAAGGGCTAAACGTTCATTTCCCCGACGGTAAACACATCTCGTCGGTAAAGAAGAAGTCGTGATTTCTTTGAACCAGACTTTGCGCCTCCAGTTTCTAAGGTTCCTGTTCCGGACTATACGATACCACCGCAAGCGATCGCGCCGATGGAAGTCTCTTAAAACAGGGGCGACAACTGGCCTTCTTGGTCGAATCCCCACTTCACGGAATCGATTCCTGACTAATTGGTCGGACATTCTTCTCAAACCAAGGATGTGTTGTGCATTGTCCACGGGTGTAGCAAGACGATGACCCCAGTGAGCAACCCGGATGTAGCGATCCTGGGTTTGGTTGGTAACTCCTTGAGCGGCCTCTTCTCGGGCGATCTTGGACTGAATTGTTCTGCAGGAAACGATCAGAAAGGCGATAAATGGTGCTCTGATGAACGTTGAAATGTCGGGCAACTGCAAACTGCGACTCCCCAGCTTCACGGCGGCCTCTGGCGACAGTCACTCGTGGCATGATGATTTCCTCTTTTCCAGGCAAAAACGAATGACAAAATTCAAAACACAACGTTTGCCTTTTTATAGTAGCTTTTCCGCTTACTTGCACGTGCATTTTCCCTTCTATGTTTTCTTGGTGACTTTTTGGCGAATATCTTTTCAAACGCCTCTAAAACAAAGGGGAAAGTTACCATTGCCGTTTTGGCACTGAAGTTGTTTATAAAGATGACGTTTTGAATTTTTTTTAGTGTATTTGAATTGTTTTTTACTGCAGCTACATGGGTCCGGAATTCTCAAAATCACCTATGCGTTTCTTTTTTTTGAAGGATATATGTATACAACAATACCAAATATGTGACATCAGTCGGTGCAAAAAACAAAACAAAGCCACCCTTTCATCTGCCAACAAAAAGAACAAAAAAAAGAACCCATAGCCCATTGGTTGGCGTGGCCAATACAGTACAAATTATTTCTTTAACTAATTACATGTAATGCAATGCCTTCGATTTTAAAGAACGACAATCTTATTTGCATAACAGAATTACATTTCTTTCAGCATAACAGAATCCTTGTTTTTTACTCACACGCATTGTTTTTCAGGGTCAGAAAATTATCGGTCACTCGGGTTTTGGGGGTCAAGTCGGATACTTTGACACCGTCAACCAGGTCTCCTTGGGGTACATCACAAATCATGCCTCTGTACACGGTCTTTTTTGATGACCCACGGTTCCTCGACCTGGAGGCTGCCTTTTATGACTGTCTGGAGGATTATGTACGAACTCAGAAATAGTTATTTCCGAGAAAACATGAGTCTTTGTTTTAGGTTTTTAAATGGCGGCTATATAAATTTGTTGGCACCTTTCATTTCTGGAAGATTCAGTACGAACTCAGAAATAGTAATTTCCGAGAAACAATTATTTTTTGTTAAGGTTTGTATATGGCGGCTACATAAATTTGTTGGCACCTATCGTTTCTGAAGAATTTTGTACGAACACAGAAATAGTAATTTCCGAGGAAATTCTTGAAACGCTTGGAAGCAGTTCACCTTGCAGTTTTGGCGCAGTAGGATTCTGATCATCTGTACCAAAAACGAATAAAAGGCACTCTTAAAATCCTTAAATCAGTTAGGCAAATACAACGTAACCAAAGACTGAAGTAACACCAAACGCATGTAAATAAGGTGAAGCATGACACGGGTACGGGTAACAGGGTATTTTAAATGAATTACATTTGATGTTTCTGTGTGATTACGTTTGGGTTAGTGTGGAAGCACTGTGTGGAATGTTTGACATCCTCCTTGATAATGTTCATGTGAAGTTAGAGAGAAAGACATTTACCCCAAAGCGAAGGCATCTCTATTGACTTATATTGTGCTGCCCCTCTTGTCGATCTGTTTGTTTATGCGCATGAATCGGAATATTTCATAGGACTAATTGTTTCATCGGAATTTCAGAAGTTGGTGAGTCATAAACGAAACATAGCGTTATAACGGTGTAAGAATCTACTCTTTGAAACGTCGCTCTATACAGTAAACTAGAAGTTGTCATCCCTAAAGTTGTCTGTTTTATTTCTGTTCAGACTGGCAAAATGAAAACAAATTCTTTCGGCCAACAATTTGAATTTAAGGTTTGGGGGCTTCGGTGGTATGATATCGTTCAATATGAAGCGGGGCGGTGGGGTAGCCTAATGGTTAAAGCGTTGGCTCGTCACGCCGAAAACCCGGGTTCGAATCCCCATATGGGTACAATGTGTGAAGCCCATTTCTGGTGTCCCCCGCCGTGATGTTGCTGGAATATTGCTAAAAGCGGCGTAAAACCAAACTCAGTCAGTCAGTCAGTCAATATGAAGCCCAGAGGCAATCCCCTTCAAGCGACTTACCCACTAGACATACAAAGAGGCCAAAGAGGCTTTATCTGTGTCATGTTTAAGGAATAACGATACAGACTTGCAAAAATACTCTCAAAAGAATGTATGACAAGGGTGTGACTTCAACTTTCCAGAATATACGAAGATTATATAGAGCAACAATATTCAAGGCCTAAGGTGCAACTTTTCGCGGACACCTGGTGTCATCTACATCTGATAGTGATAGTTGGAATTCCACAGTTGGAATTGTAAATCTATATCATGTATTTTTTTGGTTTATTTTTATATGTAGTCGATGCCGGGGTTTTCTGATTCTATAAAAGGATGTGAAACATTTGGTGTAATATAACACCATGTTTCAGATGTTGTGTATTAGCTGTCCATATATGTTTATTAAACTCTGAGTACCCGTGAAGGTCCGGGCTAGAATATTGATCTTCAGTAACCATGTTTGTCGTAAAAGGCGACTAACGGGATCGGGTGGTCAGGCTCGCTGACTTGGTTGACACATGTTATCGGTTCCCAATTGTTTAGATCGATGCTCATGCTGCTGATCACTGAATTGTGTGGTCTAGACTCGATTATTTACAGACCGCCACCATATAGCTGGAATATTCCTGAGTGCGTCGTACAACTAAATTCACTCACTCACTATTAAACTTTGTGTTTGTTTTCGTTGGAGAAACAAGTCATGAGAGTGAAAGCGTTTCTTCTGTTGCAGTGCTGACAAGGTGTAAAATTCTAATTGAAACCCTGTGATATTGTTATACTTGGTGTTCTTTCAACTATTATTTTTCCTAATTCCTTTTGAATTTTGGAACAAGCACATATAGACACAGAGTGTTGCTCTATATATGTTGCTCTATATATGTTGTTCTGTTATGGCTTTGTCGATTTCATGAAGTCAAAATGTAAATGTGAGTGAGTATGGTTTAACGCCGCTTTTAGCAATATTCCAGCAACATCAGATATTGGCGTCACACATTGTACCCATGTGAGGAATCGAACCCGGGCCTTCGTTGTGACGAGCGAACGCTTTAACCACCAGGCTACCCCCACCGCCCCAGCAGATGAAGAGGAATCCAGGATCTGTAATGACAAAATAATCAAGAATTATAAGCATTATATCAGACTTGTAAAATAAAATTTCTGTTAAACGGAAAGATGTATTTTCATACTAAAGAAAATATAATAGGACTTTTAGTTGGTACATCATATTTAGAGATTCGTTTATATATAACATAATCTCCAAGAAGAAAAATATATGAACGTATTCTGTGTTATGTAAACATTCTGTAAATGCTTTTGAGAAGATTTATGGCATATTTACTATTACTTCATGTCACAGGTTGAAACATTTTTTTATCACTTTTCTAACTGTTGAACTGGAATTCACAAATATATATTGATGTTTGGACAGTGCACGTATGAGATCCACTTAACAGTATCCAGCTCTCAGTAAAAAGGTGTATTTAGTTACCTTAACTGTCCCTTCATATGTTTATTACATGATTGAGTGATAATTTTTGTTTGCAAAATAAACAAAAACAACATCACCTTGTTTTCACACCGAATGAAGGCAAGTGACTGTATCCTCTGTCCACAGTCTTATGACAAAGGAAGCGTTCATGAAAAGTTCCATCAATTTATGATTATTGTAGAAAATATTATTTTCTGGCCTTCCATCACTTGTTTTGTCTCCTATCTTCTTTGTAAATGTATTTGTTTGCTGTATATATTTTGTATATGTGTGTACTTTGAAATGGAATCTAATTTATTGATAATAAATATTCATGAAAATGACCTGAGTTAAAGTATGTACTCAGCATCTTGAAAGTCATAAAAGGCAAATATCTGGGCCAGTTCGATGACTTTTTCAGTGGTGAGTCCTCGTACTTTGTATAGTAGCTAGTTTATGGGTGCTTCGTGAAATGCAGCTCGTTAATATTTAACTGGAATAGATCTTAGTATAAACTATGTGATAGTTGAATTCGGACCTTTGAACTGTCGTGGAACGTTTTAACATTACTAATCTTCCACGTCACTTCTGATCTGTGGGACCGCCGCCATATAGCTGGAATATTGCTAAGTGCGGCGTTAAACAACAAACCATCATAATCAGTGACTGGATCTGCTCATACCGCACAATCAGGAATGTCTCTGTCACAGTCTGTAAATGATCAATCTTGGTCAACCAGTGGTTTATAACACGAACAACTACTTCCTAATTTGTCAAGGCATCAGGCAACCAGACAGACAATACATTGTAATTGCCTGATCCTAAATGGTGGTGGTGTGTTTCGACAAGTACTTGTAATTGTAACAGGGCATCATTTGAAGCAAATATGTAATGGTTGTTTTCCTTATATCTGCCAGTCAGGAAAATAACCTGTCGCGACCTAATGTTTTTTGGTTGATGCAGTAAAACTGTTTCGTTAACCAAGCAAATTTCATAGGATCACTTGCATTTTGTATATTTAGCAATGGAACAAAATATATTATTATTAATATATTATTCATAACAATTACAATACATTCACGCCTTTTACTCATACATGAATCAACATATGGGGATCAATTCTCTGAAGTAAAGACCCTAAAACCCATTTGCAAAACAAGTGTTTCTTCCAGTTTATGCCAAGCATTAAATGCTTGATATATATATCGGTTTGCACGTTTGTAATGCCTTCTGTCCGCAAACAGAACGTAGCAACGTTAACATTTTCCATTTGCTCTTCATGGAAATGGCACCAGTACTCATCGTCGTTATTGAAAGGTCACCCAGCTGTACTCATCACCGGTAGTCTCGCACTTTTCGTTATAACTAATACTCATCATCCATTTCACCAGTTCCATACGAAAATGCAATCAGTATGACATACGCTGTAACAACATTATCTCCAACTGTTAATATGTCTTAGTGATATACAAATATTGAGGGAACACGGAAAAGCAAAAGTTTAAACACTGTCCAAACGCACTTCTGGATGATATGTGTGCACGGTTTGGTTGAAAAAAACTTGAATGGTTTGTAATGGTTTTGAAGTAATAACCCGGGCGATAACGTGATGACGTATTCCCCACTGTATCCACTTTAGAGTGAGAGAGTATGTATAGTTTTACGCCACTTTCAGCAATATTCCAGCAATATCATAGCGAGGGACACCAGAAATGGGCTTCACACATTGTACTTATGGGAGGAGTCGAACCTGGGTCTTCGGCGTGAAAGGTCAACGCTTTAACCACTAAGCTACTTTAGAAGATCAAAGGCGATATTGCATGTGATCCAGTAACATATGACTCTAACGCTTCTTTCATTAACGTCCATGCTAGTGTTATACAGGCACACCTGAAACTGGTTTCTAGCCAGCAAACAGAATTACTCGTACCTTCCGCATACGATGTATCCAATCACTACACATTTTAAATGCTTTGTGTGCAGAACATATGAAGAAAAGAATCATAGAGTGAATTTAATGATGAAGTAGCAGATTATCATTTGACTTCAACCAAAGAGGACGTCGGTTTAAAATATTATGTGTTCTGGAATGAGGTAAAAGATTAAGTCTGTCAGAAGTAAAACACAATTTGGCCACAGTTGAACAAGATATCAAAAGACTCAAAGAAAAGCGACTTACTCACCAGAGCTTGGCATAAAGGAGGTCAAAGGAAAAACCCGTAGAGAACATTAATCACATATCTATTATAAATATGCCAAAGACCTCTAGTCACATGTATAAACAAGTATCAACAGTTTTCCAAATATTGTACTCACAAACAAACTGTCATATATTAGTGTTGGGTACGATAGTCAACTTTCAGCCCCAAGAATAATTCATTTATCAAGTATTAAACAAGTGTTCATTAAAATACTGAGTGATATTTGAAAAAAAATAAAGGAACGGAACACATTGTTTTCACAAAGAATGGGGTGATCGCGGATCGGGTTCCAGTTTGTGTGTACCAAGGACTGCCTTGTCTTCTCCAAATTTGGTTCAGGGTGTTCTGATTTGTGAAACTGTTCCTATCTTTTTTAAGTCATATTTAGCCATGTGACAAATATCAATGTCAATGCATACTAAATTTACATAAAACATTAAAATAAAGCACTTGATAAGAAATACAACTGATGCTATCCTCAGTTATAAACAAACGTTATCTTAAAATTGTAAGCCATAAAGCATTCAAAAATGTCACAGTTGAACCATTTTATACCCATTAGGTGTTTTTACTCATTACAGGATATGTTTTCTGTAGCCTTATATTACTGAATGGTAATTCTATTTCTTCACAATTTCCTGATTTCGTTTTGAATCAGATATTGCGCGCAACATAATCTGATAGACATTAAAGCTTCAGAAAACAACTGAATTTACACACTTTTTCAACTCTGCTGTAGGCTTTCTTGTGCCATGAATTTCAAACAATGATCTTCCAAACTATTGCCATGGTAACGTATAGCTTCAATTTACCGTTTACCCATACGATGTTGTTCCAGGTGGATGTAGCAACTCTACAATTTTAGGCACAATGTGGATGTTCAAATATATAGACTTAATTATCTGACCGACACATCTTTGAAAATATAATGTCTTTGTTGGATTAATCTAGTCTTTATATTATCGTATTCTGTTAAAAAATGATAACTATTTTCTGCTTCAGATCAAGCAATCAAACAGCACATCAAGCTAAGGCAAGAATTGCATACAGACAGACAGACAGGTTTATTTCGTAGATGTGGCCATGAGGCCAATAGTACAAAATGACAACTTAGATTAAATTTTTACAGAGCGCATGGACATGATTTTGTTTACAAAAATTGCTAGACGGAGTATTATGTTATGGTTCTTAGTATTTAGAAGATGGACAAATCTTTGTTTATTTGGGTTCATAATATAGATACTTGGTATGTAGTGAGTTCTTACCGCTGCATATAAAAGACATTTCATTAACACCAGATACTCATCTTCTGGTACATTTTTACAATAATCGCATATAGCTACATTATTGTCATAGTCTTTAGATCTTCTATACGAAACTATTTTTAAATTGGTGGAGCCGCATCTAAATTTTGTTAAGACTGCGCAGATGTAACAAAG